AGGTGCCGTGGCCTTGAAGGTAGACTGCGCCAACAATGAGCCATTATTTGCAAGATGAGACTGTTGATGAACCTACCCGAGGCTGCACTGTGGGCATGCCAATTTGAAGAAAGACGGACAGGATGACTGCTGACGATGACCACGCCGTTTCGAGGATGCGCCAGACGACTAGATGACGTGCCGTGCCAATTGAAGGTGTGCCGGGGGACTGGAAGCTGCACCGTGCCATTTTTATGATGTATTGGACCGCTGACTGATAACTATGCTATTTCGAGCATCAGTAATGAAGATGGAAGAATACCGTACTTCGTGATAAGTCAAGGCGTGTTGCGACGCGTGGAGATATCTGGAGGGATACGCCGGATGGTGCTGGACAATACAGAAGCTGGTCACAAGCACTGAGATTTGTTTCCTTACACTTTGACATCGTTGACGGCTGCCACGGCACAACATGAGGGTTTTAGGCGTGTTATTACGTAGTGGCATGTTTGGAGGGCGCTGGAAAAAGGAAAGGTCATTTAACTGGAGGTTAAATGGCTTAAGTACTAGGGACGTGGATCCGTCATAACGTGGTAATGGAGCTGGTACATTGTAGAACGGGTTCTGGTACTGTACCTCGTAGCTTCTCGGCGAAGCTCGGAATACGGTGTGAGGTGTAGCTGAGTGCACTGAGTACTAGGGCTCATTTCTATAGCTTTAAAGTACCAAAGGAAATGGTGGCTCGAACATGGTGCGGCTGAGGCTATAATTAGAGAGTTGTGACCATTTTCAAGATCGGATTGTAGTACCAACGCCTGATGGAGCGTACGCATAGAGTGTGAGGTTGTGGAAGTGTGAGGTTTGCGCTGTTGGATTTTATGAAAACGTATCCAGTGCAGAAACTACATATGGGCGTAAGACTTCACGTGTAACGAACACTGGTTTTCGGACCAACCTGGCGTTGCCTGTGCATACTGGAGGATTGTGCCCCGCTTGCTGGATAGCAATGCCTCGCCGAAGTCGCCTACTGAAAGTGCATCTTCGCCATCGATTTTGGCTCGATTGGGCGACTGTTCGCATAATGTACGTGACCGGCTCCCTACTCGAAGATTCGTCATCCGAACGCTTTTACATGGTAAAGCAAGGCTCAAGGCCACAACGGCGCTGTTGTAACTTGAGCTGATTGTGAATTATTAATAATTAGGAGCATGAAGAAATGATGAGGGACTAGGAATTATGCATTAAGAACGTTGATGAACGGACAGGATATAAGTGACAGAGCTCCTGTTGTCCCTTTGTCTCGGCAGCAAACCATTATTGTGGACTCGAGCCTGCGGTTCCTCATTCAGGGGTCGCCACCCCTGGAACCTTTATGCCTTCGCCAATTGGCAACTGGGGCAGGGATTGTGCGCGACGCGACACAAGACCAGGTTTGCTCGTCGCAAACTGGAACGGACTGAGCGTCGAGTGCACAACAACTCGACATTGCCCGGACAACCTGTCCAACAACTTTTTCCGGAACTGAGATTCAATTTGAATCTTTAAAGGCATCTTTTGGGCGATTGGCCGCGATGAGACTCCAACACCCCGGGGTACTCCGGGCCTTCCCTATTGTGAGCACTGTGACGCAGTGCTAGATTGCGTCCACCACGCAAGCATGCCCGATGACCTGTGGTGTGGAACTTCTCTCGCCCGCTTTCACAGATCGTGTCTAACCTATCGACACACGCCTGCATTAGCCGATCGTTCATGCGCCCGGCGTGCGAAGTGAAAGCAGCTGGGCTGGAGTCTGGCCAACCCACTTGGACTTGGCGCTTAAGTCTGCCAGGGTCAGGCAGGGACCCTCCAGCCAGCACTGCTGAGCACTTATTGGTCCAGGGTTAAGAGGTTCTAGATGTTCTCAGCACAGACATCATTGACAAACGAGCCCAGACTGCTGCTGGGCCCAGCTCAGGCGCTGCCCCCCCCAAAGCCATATCTCTCTTCATTGCTTGAGTTAAAGAGCGGTGCACTGCCGCCACCATTCTTTCAACCACTGCCGCCATCTGCAGATGGCACCAGGAAAAGGGACTGCAGTTCCAATTTCCCACCCCGGGCTTGCCGACCTTATTAGAATGGTGGCGAAGGAGGTTAACGCACGGGCCGGAAAAACGGAAAAAGCACCCTACCCGCAACTCACCATTCCGTTAGTGCTTCAGATAGTTTGGCTCCAAAGTGCACAAATATTTTGCCCACTAGCAGTAAAAGGACCCAATAGCCCTTTTTGCGAACACATTTGTATGTATTTTATTATTGTTCTGCATGCTGAAACATGGAACTAACCCAAACCCGTAAATTTTGTACACCTTTGAACACGTGTTACTTGGCTCTTTTCCCTAGTGGCCAGCGCGCCCCCGAATTAAGGAGGGACGGCGCCATGTTGCTGACTGGCTTCTTTGCGCTGCTAAGAAAGTCCAAACTCTGGGGCCTCAGTGAGGGGGACATCCATTTTGGTGGAATGGCGGGACCTGAGCTCAGCACCGTCTTTATTTTACGCAATGAAAATGACACCCCGGGCAAAGGAGCCACGGCCGGCCTAGAGGCAGTTGTAAAAACAGGGCCGTTGACAAGGTCATGACACGGTCTGCTCAAAATCCAACCGTGGGATCATGGGCCTACACTCGCCGAAACGAGACGGTTGGATTTTGCGCATACCGTTTCGTGACCGTGTCATCTGGCCTGTTTTGTTACCAGTGAGCGAGTGGCCAGTTCCGGGATGGACATTGTACTTGTGTTCAGAATATGGCTCGGCAACGTGTACATCCAGCAACCCGAAGCCCCCCTCTTCCAAAAGCTCAGGAAGGGTGTGTGGGCCGGCATCTACACTGCAGCGATTTCGTTTCAAGAAGGTTAGCTGCCATCCACAAAAGAGTCGCCACATGGCACCTAGAGCTGTACATACACATATATATCGTCTGTCATCTCGTGGACTGTCATCCTCGCGCCAACCGACGAAGGGTGGGTGTCACCCGCCCAACAACACTTTTACACCACCTGAGGGCACGTTGAGCACGTAACCACCTAAATACAATGTGACCGACACCGGAATTTTACTTATGGATTTGTAGTATATAGGGGCGGCCCTTTCACACTACAAATCCGTCAGAAAAAAAGGTCGGTCACGTCGATTTCAGGCGATTGCGTGCCACCTGCTGCGGGCAGGTATACCTCGCGGAGGGCCAATATGCTTGTGCCGATGCAAGTGGCGCGTCCATCAACGCACGCGCCTCATTGCTCCCCACCCTTGCGACAGGTGGCCCATGGCCAGGGTCTCCCCGGTGCGTGGGTTGCCGGCCCAGAGCAGCGGGTGCAGCATGCGCAGCGGTGGTAGTGCTCAACAGGTAATGCAAGCGGGTAGAGAAAGCACGCACCAAGGATGCAAAGCGGAGGGTTTGGGAGTGTGATGGCCACCTCCCACTCCTGCCACCTTTGCTCCTCGTGACCACCGACTGGCGCCACCCACGGGCGCCTAGGCTGGCACCCACGAGTGGCATCATTCGATGCCCACAAGGGGCGGATGCCCAAGTGCTACCGTGACCTGCTCGACGCATAAGACGTGGGAGCAAAAGGCACTCCAAAGGGCGGGATTGGGAGGCCGAAAGCTGCCTCCCACTCCCGCACTTGTACTCCTCACGGTCAGCAATTGGTGCCACCTGCGGGTGCCTTGATTGGCATCTGTGAGTAGCGTCAATCGGCGCCCACGAGGGATGACTGCGAGCTGTGAACGACGGCCCGTCTTGCGCCCATGGCCTGGGCACAAAACACACCACAAAACGGCGAGAGTGGGAGGCCGAACGACGCCTCCCACCACCGCCATTTCGGCCCCATGCGGCCATCGATTGATGATACCACCGGGTGCCCTGATATGCACCCGCGAGTAGCATCGATCGTCGCCCGCAGGGGGCGAGAGCCAACAGTGAACAACGGCGCGTTTTGCGCTCAAGTCTTGGGCACAAAACACGCCACAAAACTGCGGGAGTGGGAGGCCGAACGTCGCCTCCCACTGCCGCTACTTTCGCTCCTCAAGGCCACCGAATGTTGCCACCCGTGGGTGTCCCAGTCGACACCCGCAAGCGGCACCATTCGACGCCAGCAAGGAGCCAAAGTGGGCCCACGCATCGCCACGCATAGGCGTCGAACCGCCGCGGATCTCGCGCCTCCCCCGCCCTCCCGAGGAGGCTTGCTGCCTCAGCCCTTCTGCGGATGCACCGCCCGTCCTTCCGAGAACTACCAAGCTCACGGAAACGAACGGACGACGACGCCTCCATCCGCGAAGCCGTGGATTCCGCGAAATCCCGCCCGCGAAGTACGAACGGAATTTTGCGGACGCCCGAGGCGGAACCAGTCAGCGGAAGTTCGCGGACGGAACGCCCGTCCTCGAGCTTGCGGACGGCAGCGGGCGGATGGGCTGCAGCCCCGCAAGACGGTTCGCGGTACGTCCGCCCGTCCGCGAATTCCCACTGCCACCGGAGCAATAGCGAGGGCTCTCCAGCGCACGTTTCCGGCAAGTGAACCCGATGGGCGCCAGGGGTTGGCGCCCGCCGGCCTCCAACCCACAAGACACGCTACGCGAGGCCTCCTGTCATACCACATATGTCCAGCGCACGTTCCCGGCAAGTGAACCCGGTGAGCACCAGGGGCGGGCACATCGGCCACCAACCCACACGACAATCTGCGGGAGGCCTCCAGTCATGTCACGCGACACACAACACGATGCGGATTGGGGCCATTGGGATGACGGGAGGCCTCCCGTAGTGTGCCATGTGGGTTCGAGGCCGATGGGTTCGATGGGTACTAAAGATAACCTAATGACATCCTAACGAACAACGCTCCCTCGCACAAGAGAGCACCCTGTCCGTCCCCACTCAACACGCGCAAGCCACAAAAGTCTGTAAGGCCACGCCAAGCGACGGGGGTCTCGGTCGCCTTCAGCGAGACCATCCCGTGTACCACCCCAATCCGTCGACCACTGCGAGCAGAGCATGGCGACCGTGTCGTCCCTTCGCGTGTACCCGGTGAAGGGGTGCAAGGGCATCGAACTGGACACCGCAGTGATGACGCCCACGGGTGTGACGACAATTTGCGACGCGAGCCCGGGGCTTCGGAGAAGCGAATCCCGTTCCGTCGCTGCGTTTGTCGAGTGCGTGGCGGTCGTGACGCGCTCTCTTGCTGTGCATGGCTGCGGTCAGGCCTGGCATTCGACAGGCACTGGGTGGTGGTCAAAGAAGGCACCATGAAGTTCCTGACCCAGAGGCAGATCCCACAGATGTGTCTGGTACGCTGGATGACACGATAAGCTCGCATGCCTGGTCGTCTTCGGCGCTAATGGTGACCAGCTTTGCATGTCGAGCGCACGGTAGCTTGATGGGGCCTCCAGGGTTTTCTTTGCGCGTCGAGCCGGCAATCTTTTGGCAAGAACAACAATGTCTAACAGGCAGCTGATGGCAAAAGGCCCCTATTGGGCTGAACCGTTCGCAACGCATCTTGCTGCCGTGTGTGCAACACTGAGACCATCCATGCTCTGCCAGATGCCCTTTGGTGGCATCAGTGTCTGGCAGGGCACAATGGGTACACATGACATGGCTCACGGACCGAAGCCCTGCCATTTTGTCTTGGCTCCAGATCGAGGTGTCGCTGCCGATTGAAGCTCTCCATGGTCAATGGGGTCAGCTGGACCCTGGAGCGGCCCTTGTTCTTAACGCCCCACACATGCAACCAGTGCAGGTGCCCCTTGCCAAGACTGCTGACGACTCTTTGCTCAGGTTGGTCCCCTGCTTCTACAAATCCTTGTCTTGCATACCTGCAAGACAATGGGGTTGCAAGCCCTCCCCTGAAAATTGAGCTTTTCTGTTGCCTTGTCTGTAGCAGTTTGTGCACAATGAAGCCTTACCAGAGCTTACTGTTCCACCGGATGGCTTCCATCTTTCAAGCTAGGCCTTGGAACATTTATGTCATTGCGAGAGAGCGAAGCGAGCGGAGCTTCATAGAGCACACAAGCGGTTTTGGCCGACCGCCGACTCAACCCCATCCCCGGGCTTCCTTCACCGGCGCCCGGGCGCGGCGCGGCATGGGACCCGCCTCCCACCGGCTTCCACCGGGTTTCCTCCACCGGCGCCGTTTGGTTGCTTGGGTTTGCGCATGACTAAGAACGGGGGGAAGGGGGGACGCCTCGCGTGCGTGTGTCCGGAAAAGTATGCGGTCGCCTTTTCGCGTTACGCATGCAGCCGTTACGGCGTTTGCGTTTGCGCCGCTCCGTGACAAGCGCTTCGCGTACCCTTGACCACTGACTGGCAAGGGGGGAGGTGCAGCGGGCAGCGTGAACCAGGCGGCGCTTGGGCGAGTGGCTGGAGGTGGCGATTGCCATCGCCTACCGTCTTGGCTCCAGTCGTGTTTGGGAGGGGGATCGGAGCGGGATGGAAGGGTTGAGGGAAAGCCAATTGGGAAAAATCTTTTCAAGGCGATTGATGCAACCGGTCGCTCGCTGCGATGTTCGCTTCGAGCAGGCTGGACGGCCGCCTGGGAGTGCCTTTTGACACCTCTTGGCCGTAGACTAGAACGAGTGGCGGTTTTCAGGGGGGCGGGCGGGCGAGGGCGTGTTCAAATTTGACAACTGCGACCGCGACGAATTACCCGACGGGTCGATCGCCGAAGTCTTTCCCTTCAAGGAGGCTTGGCAGCCTGGGTGCAGCGCCTTGAGGTGCCTCCTTGGCCGCCGATTGGAGACGAGTGGCGTCGGGGGATGGGGGGAAGGGTGAGGTCAATTTGAGAATTCTGTTTGTCGATTGTTGTCGATTGCCGTGACCTTTCACTTCAGAAATGTGTGCTAACGCCTTGGGTGGTTTGGAGTTTTTAGGGCTCTAGGCTTGCCAGTTTCGTGCGATTTGGCACATGATTTGCAGCAAAAGTGTGTGTGTGCATGTGCACCACTCGAGCGAGGTGTGCAAGCAATGTGTTTTTTTCCTTCAGCACAAGTGTTCAAGAATCTGTTTTCAGCTGGAAGAGGCTGAGGAGATTTCCTGCTGCAAAGAAGAAGGCCGGTGGCAGTGAAGGATGCTCAGCAAGTTAGAGAGCTCCCAATTGTGTGGCCAGCTTTCTCTTTGCACAACAATCCTTGCACTGTGGAAACAGGGAATGCACCGTGTGGGAATGGAGTGGCCTTGCCCAAGATGAGGGGGATGAAGTAGCACAGTGGCTGTCAGAGTTCATGGGCACTGCTGTGAGGCTCATGAGGTACAGAGGCAAACCCACGGGCTTGAGGCACGAGGCCGGAGAGGCGCAAGCAGACCCATGCCGCAGACCAACAGACCCAGAGTGGGGTTCTGGAGTCGAGTTTGCATTCGCAGATCGCTACCATGTGTTGCTTGCCACTGAGGTGGGATGAACTGAGTTTCATGGGACACGTACTCTGGATGAATTTTCGAAGTCTTTCATCAGGCCTGCCTCAGCAGTTCACATCGTTCGTCAGGGGCTTTCACGTTCATGAGCTGCATGTCGGTGGTCGTATGGTTGTCTGGAAGTATGCTTGATGATGCAAAGTAGAAAGCTCATCCAAAGTGGATATTGATGGCCTCGATCCCAAGGTTCAACATGCTTGTCTTTCCATGTTCTTGAGGTCTTTGCTTCCTTGTGTGGATTTGCAACTGTGTACAGTGGGAGCTGAGATCCCATTGACAATCCCGATGTCATGAACAAGGACACAACCTATGGATATATGCATCATTGCCTGTTTTTCGTTTCGACACACTGATTGGTAAGAGGCATCAGCGTGGGCTGGGCGACGACATTCAGAATTCCTTGGCAGTGTTGAAGTTCTTTTGTGCTTTGGGGCCAAACAGTCCATACAGCACTTGCAAATGTCCCCTGCGCCATCCTTAGCCCCTGCAATTGTGCTGTGGGCCCGAACACTACACACAGCAGTTGCAACAGTCCCCCCTGTGCCATCCTCAGCCCCTGCAATTGTGCTTAATTCTGTCGATGGTGCAGCATCGCCGTTGACTCAACAATAAGATGGTGCAGTGAGGGCATGTGGCCATCTAACATTGTCTAGCTGGTGCAAGCATGGTGTATTGTTGTATTTGGCAGGGGTGACAAATGCAGACTTCCTGGGGTATGTTGCCTGTGAGGGTGTCACAATATTCGATTGGAGTTTGTGTGGAGTAATGCACTTAGAAAGTTTGTTGCCACTGACACTGCGAAGGTGTTAACCCTGCAGTAGCTTTGCCTGAAACTGTGTTCTGGATTGCAGGCAGATCTTGAGGATCTCAACTGCCACTTGGCCACACCCCTCCCAATGAACCGGTTCCGGCCCAACATCATCCTCAAAGACACGGAACCATGGGCCGCAGACAACTGGGCAAAGGTCAAGATTCGTCCTCAAGATGGTAGGGCCCAAAGTTGTGTTTCTCAGCGATTTTCAGTTCTGATTGATCACACACCTAAAAGCATGACAAGGCACTGCTGTCTCACCTGCTTTAGTTGATGCTGGCGACATGGGGATCCACAAACCACACAAGTGTGTAGCAAAGAGCGTTGCCATGTATTTGCACCATGTTAGTTTTTTTGTGAGTACATGGCTGCTGTGCTCACCAACAGTTCTGTTTGTGACAGTGATGGTACCACTTGGTAATCATCATGGTCAAGTCATAAAGAATATTTGCGATCGCAATACTAACGTGCTAAATGTGGTCTTTCAGCTGCTGTTCATTTCTGTGTTGCATTCCGATGAGCTGCTCTGCAAGTTGGCAACCATCCACTGTGATTAATTGTGATGACCAATGTTCGCTTGGCGTCTTTCAACCAAATGCTCAAAGGGTTCACCCAAATGGCTTGCCACCTTCTGTGCTGGTAAGAAAAGCAATTATCAAGTTAGGGAACCACCACAAGTACCAAGCTGGATGTCTGCGTCCAGGTATCAGTGAAGACACAGGCAGAATACTTTGCCTGAAGATTCTTGAGTGTCACATAATTGCAGCTCAAGCCTTCATGGACAAGGCCACGAATGGAGCACTGCCTAAATGCCAATGATCCCCTCTGGCCACGGCAATGAATGTGTTGATGAATACAGGTATTGGCAACTGAGTGCAGTGCACTGTTGTGCCGGTGTGCAGAAGCCACAGGCGGAATCGACTTCCTTGTGACGACGCCATGCTCGCGCTGCAAGGTGACGACCGTGAATCAAGCCACTGGAGAGGTGGGGCTGGAGCCACTGGCTACACTGGCAAACGTGCGCTCTGGTCGTGTTTTGGGTTGGGATGTGGGTCGCAAGGACTGGCGCCATAAAGTTTTTTTCGGTTGGAATGCCGTCGCCCAGCAGGAGGGCCGCCTGAGGGTGGGAGACCTTGCCATGGCGTCCGTTCGGGAGAGGCCAGGAGATGTTGCAGGGGTCTGATCGTACAGCATGGCTTGAGCCGTCAGCTTCGTTGTAGATTCTGCATGGGCGCTGCTGCCAGCGGGAGAGTAAGGGCGTTGCTAGATCTTCGACTGGCGCGTAAAACAATCAAAAAACTGCATTGATTTGAATCAATGCGTTTTGCAGTGAGAGGAGGTGGATGTGTTTCGCGATGTACTCGCTCGTTTTCATGTGAATTTTGGCGAGTTGTGTAAGAATGAATGATGGATTTTGATGGGTTTTGAAAGAGGTTCTGCGTCAGCAATACACCGCCAACGCCATCCAAACACTGGCGCTTGGCTCACGACGTGCGCTGATGCCGGTTTCCTTGGTCGCCATAAGGAATCCGTATTCGGTACTCCGCGTCGAATTCCGCATTACAGATTTCCAAAACATGGACGCAGGTGTTTCTTCGACATCAGTTTTCTTCCCTTCCATTGCCTTCTTCTTCGAGCACAGTCGGTTTGCATTCCAGACGGGCGGCCAGCAGTGAAATATTCACATGATTGAACGGGGACAAGCAAAATTTTCTGATGTGCACATGACCTCCATCAGGGCGAGTGGCAGGCGCTCCACCAAAGCGCCTGGCAAAGGGCAATTGTTCGGAACCAGCCTTCGGCATTCACATCCACGGCAGTGTCAACTCGAACCACCGAACAGACGCTGGCTGGATCTCTTGGCGCCCGTCACTGCATGGAAAGCCCAAGGACTTCTATTATCCGACACGATTTGCTCGCAAAAATGCAATCTAGGGGTGTGTGAAGGTGTGCGAAACTCCTTTCACGTCTCCCTTGCTGTATTGGTAAGCCTTCGTCCCTCTCTCCCCTACAAAGAGGATGCACGCGCCCACCTTTTCCGGCAAACTTCCACCAATGTAAACTTAGCGGATGGGTGGATAAATTGGACTACACCAAGTGCATTAAATGAAAAGGATGAAGTTAAATGGCTACTTTTCAATTTCAGCGTTTCATCGATTGATATATCAATTCCAACTGCAATTTTTTCAGTGGACAATCGGTGAAACCCAAGCAAGCCCCTGTCAGACGCCCCGCGTCCAGCAAGCATCGCGGGCCCTGCCATCGGCTCCCCGGCCGCTCTCCGCTGTTGGCGTGCCGCTCTTCCTTGATGACGACGTCGGAGGCGCACGTCTTGGTGGTGGGGATCATAGGTAAGCCGGGGGAAGGGGGGGGGGGGACTGGCGATTGTTGTGCTTAGTGCTTTTGTACACGTGATCATGTTTCTGAGGGCCAGGGTGCTCCAGCGGCACTGGGCGAGCCGGAAAGGTGGGTGGCAGGCTTTGGACTGAAGCGGGGGAGCGGCCAGGGACGCGCGGCAGCTGATTGGTGCGCCTGGCGCGTTTTAGCCGATCCCATGAGGAGTGCCCGATCTCCTGGATTGAGGGCATTTTGAGGGATGATTGAATTGCGTGTCTTGGGGAGTGCGTGCAATGTTGCTGTTGTCGTTTTAATTGAGTGGAGCATCGATATTTGAAATGGCGGGCCTTGGTGCCATGCTTGTAGACCTTCAAAACTGGATGCTAGTGGATATTGAAACGTGTCCACAGCCTCGAAAGCCATCGCCTGAATGGTGGCTGTGTTGTCCAAGTGCACCACGGGACATTTGGAGTGTGGAAAGGGGGCCCTCCTGCACCGTTCACTGTGATGATGCAAGGGGAGTGTGTGCAAAGATAGATATTGACAGGATGGAAGTGCAAGCCTTATCATGGGCTTCCCTGCCCTCCAAAAGAAAGCAACAAGATGGCAGCACTCTGTGGGGTTTGCATTTGTCGCGATGGAGTTGCTGGAAAGGCATCTGCACTGTCTCCATCACCAGCCATCGCCTTTAGGAGGGTTGCCCTTGTGGGTGCTCAGTTTACCAAATCGTCAGAATGACTGGATTTAGAGCTCTGGCGATTGACAAGATGTGCCATGGTCACCAAAGATGGCCAAAACTCGATGGACAGCCGAAATAATGAGTCCCCGTTGCATGTCTCTGCCATCCCTCTCCAATGGTCCTCCTGAGAGGTTTTGTTGGCCCCCAAGATCGAAGGCATCCTGACTGAGCCCCTGCATTGTGCCAAACAAGCACACTATTCAACCTGCTTGCACCCAGTTCACAGTCTCCCGAGCCATTGGATGTGGTCATGCGGGTTTTATTACATGGGAAATTGGTGATCATATGTCAATGCGATCGACATCAACAGCTTTCCCAGTGCGCCAAGGCACCAAGTCCATTTGCTTCGATTGTGTGGGCAAAATTTGCCAAAGAGGGATTTTGTGACATCCAGACAAAACCAACCTTTGCTCTTGCAGTGAGGCACCATGGCGCCTGGCCTCTCATCACCTGCTGGTCGTTGAACTGAATTGGTATCCCTTGCATTCCACATGGAGCAACATAAAGTTGTGCGTCGATCGTTGCATCAAACAGAACCATACCTGGTGGCCGAACCATACCTGGGGTTGCCAGTATGAATGGCCATAGGCCTCACAGATGGAAATGTAAAGGATGTTGTTGTATGCTCGGCAAAGAATTATGTGATGGTAATCTATATGTATTACCAATGCTGTCTGATCATCTGTGTGCAGCATGGGCTCTGGTCATTGATAGTATGCCATTTTGCATGTGGCTGTAATGGATGCATGGATGCATCCATTTATTCACCTCCAGTAAAATACAGCACAGCACAGTGCAGCTCAATGCAATAGAGTACAGTGCAGCACAATGCTATGCACTACAAAACACAACAGCACTTTGCATCCTTGCAGAATATCTTGTCAGTGCACTGTGTCCCTGTGGGTCACAGGGGGTACCTTCAAGGAGGGCAGGCTCCTCCTGTCGCAGCTCCTGGACTATGACTTTGAGCTAGGGTCCCTGGGGCCCAGCCTGGAGAGCCAGCCCCATGTCAAGGTGCGACTGTGGAAAGGGTCCTCTGGAGGCCTGCCTCTAATGTCCTTCCTACATACTGACCAGTACATTGTGCCACATTGTGTGATCTGCTTCAAGTACTGTACAACCATCGAACACTGCAGTGTTTGTGGCACATCCAGCAGATGAGTATGTTGCAGTATATTTTATATTGTGCACCTTGCATGCTAGGCGATTGTGGGATGTATTGCCCCGTTGGACAATTTGTGCATGTCCACTGATGTCTCTGTGGTTTACACGCTTTCCAAAGCCTTGCATCACAGTGAACTTTCTTAATGTATCAGTATTGTGTTCAGTGATTAAGTACTTTGCAACCAAAGTTGTAACATTTCGCCTGGGCTGGATGCTTGATTCCTTGCATATGTATTGGGCCCATTCTCCTGAACAGCGCCCACACACTGGTCGTGTGTGGGATTGGCACCAGGATTCTCAAACATGACAATGTGCCCCTTGTACGTGAATGTACTTCTGAGGAAATGTGCTCCCACTCGAGTTGCCAAGGTACTGGGCATGTGTATCCCTGCTTGTCTTGCTAAGGTACTGGGGTATTTGCACATGTGCCTTATACGGTGCTGATTGATGGAAAGGCCGGAATGAAGGAAAAAATGCACACAAGAGGCGCATATTGGGGATTTGCCGATCCTCTCCAACAATACACAATAATACAGTCTCAATACTTTTTATTTGACAACGTAAAATTAATCCTAAATATTTAGTCAAATGCAATGAATATATCGCAATGTGTAATAGGAAACCGTTAATTAACAATGTCTTGAACACATTGTGTTGGCTAAGAGAACATCGTGTAGCAGTATTGTAACTGTGTGACTTTGCCCGTGTTTGCAGGGCTGCCCACTGATGGAGGGACTGGTCTACGGGTATCTGGACTCTGCCACAAAGTGAGCCACAGAAAGCGAAGGGAACCAAATTTTGAAAGAAAGGGTTGCTGAAACAAATGTTGGGAAGGCGCAAAAATGTCTGGAAGACAACCTGTGAGTGAATGAATGAGTGCGTGATAGGCAACCGCTTCTATAGCTGTTGCAGAGAATTCACATGGTGACTGACGCAGGCACAGTTTGCAAAAGTGTGGAAAGGCCACATTGGTCATGACATATGTCTCCACTGAGTTCAGATCATGAGGCGACGCGACTTCGATGAGAACTATGCTGCACTGTAATGTGCTGTGTGAAGCAATATTATGTACTGCATGATGTGCTGTTTCCTACTCTGATGCTCTGTATGAAGCAGTAGTATGTACTGCATGATGTCCTATTTCCTACTGTCATGCACTGTATGAAGCAGTAATATGTAAAGCATGATGTGCTATTTCCTACTGTGATGCACTGTATGAAGCAGTAGTATGTACTGCATGATGTACTATTTCCTACTGTGATGCACTGTATGAAGCAGTAGTGTGTGCTGCATGATGTACTGTTTCCTACTGTCACACACTGTATGAAGCAGCCGATCCGCCAACGCTCGCCCTCGAGTGTCAGGCTGCTGGCCTCGGTGAGGGCCAGCTTGGTTGATAAATAAATATTACAAATGTTATATAAATGTTATTATATATATTGGTAATTGATAATACACCCCTTTCTTTGTTGTAAGAGAGATTCGCCCGTGCTCGCCCTGACGGCAGGGTCTGGTGCCCTGGTGGTGGCAGTACTTTACGGCGTGCAATTTTTGTAAGACAATTAGGTGCAGATAGTCATTGTACTTTGGTTAAAAGAGCATCGTTGATGACACGGTGAAGACGACTTGTGACTTCGCCTTGACAAGGTCATGGTTGGTGTCACAGTAGGGAGTGAGGACTAATACAGGACACTTGAGAAGGTGTGCATTATTAATACGCGAATTTCAGCAACTGCTGCTCATAATACAGCTGGCTACAGCTGCTGTAATCCTCTAAACTGTCTTCGACAAGGCAAAGCGGTGCCAGGGCGCCATTTAGGTGATAGCGGCGACATACACATCTAACCGTATGTACGTTTTGACGAAGTTTGTGATGGTGGGCGTGCATACATTTTTGTGTCCCAAATGTTTTTACTTCATCCGCTGCTCACCCGTGCCACCACACATCTCTTGAGCCTGCTACCCGAGTTTGCTTGTACTGCATTTCTGAACTCTATTTACCAGCAAAAAAGCACAGAGTAGAGTAGAGTATAGAAGTAGAGCGGAGGACAGTAGAGAAGTGCAATATAGTAGAGAAGAACATGCTTTCTATACTGTGAAAAATGCTCACAATTTCAATTATCTAACGACCATAATCTGACCCTCTGCAAGCACACTCTACCTCCAGCTGTGCGCCTTCGACCCCCTCAGGGTCCCTGGGGCCCGGTCGGCGCCCCCGGGGCCCCCGACCCGCCGGTCCTCCCAGGAGGCCTCCCTGCGGTGGATGCTGGCGGCATTAGTCACCTTCCTGTCGTGCCACATGGTGCTGGTGCTGCAGCGGGGCCCCACGCTGGACGTCACCCTGCTGCACAAGTTCAGGAACCTGCAGGTGACGAATACAGAGCGAACAGCACTCAGAAAGGGCTGGTACAAGGAAGCAGAAGATAGACAGTACAATTAGAAACTGAAAATTGAAAATGGGCAACAGAAAAAAGCGCTATTGCACTTAAGTATGGTAGACTGGGGCCTTTGTCAGCTTCCATCCACGTGGCGCTGGTGCTGCCGCGCTGAATGTCACCCGTTGCACCAGTTCAGGATCCTGCAGTTAGCAAAAGCAAGTCAAATGCGGTCGGAAATATTGATACGAGAATAGAGAAAATGGATGATGCAAACTAGCGTTATTGCGCCAAAGTATGGCAGATTGTGCATTTCGTGGCGTGACGGTGGCCGTAAAAAATGTAAAGCGCGGATTGTGGAGGGGGATGCCTTCCCAATTTGCCTTCATGCCATGGCACTGCGATGCTGTCTCCCAGTCTTGAATGGCTTACAACTTTGGACGATCTGTGCTTGGCGTTCTGTCGAAGCAAATGCTCTGCCAGCCCAGTACTTAAGCACTACAAGAACTGGTGTATTTCTAGTGCATTGTCACTTGTTGGAGAACGTATTCCTCGTAATGCACTGTGCTGAGAGCGGTATTCTCTGGCCATACATACAGAGATGCTGCGTAGAAGCTCATAATAGCATCTGATATAGTCTACAAACTCGAAACGTCTGCACGTGTTATCATCGTGATTACCAGGGCCATCATATATTTTTGCACTTTACAAGAGGCAGTGGTCACGTGCTTTCCCCAGACAAACCACAACTTCTAGCAGACATGGATGGGCGATTTGGCTAAGCCCTGTTTTCACGATTGGACAACCTTTTGCGAAACGGTGGTACAAGTCTTAGCACTTCACAGTACTTCAAGTACCGTAAGCAGGTACTGTTATACTGAGCTGTAGTATTGAGCAAGTACTAAGCAATTATTGTACATAAGTACTGTAGTACTGACAAGTACGGCAAGCAAGTTGCTGTGCCACTAAATTTTGAAAAGGCGCTGTTGCCTCCCTCGCAGGTCATAAAGGACGCCTTGGGGCCCTTCGTGTCCAGCGCCTTGGGACCCGCCCAAGATCCACACCATGCTTCCCAGAATGCCAGAATGGCCAGAGGCACCCAAAGGGAGGGAAGGACGCCCCTGCTGCCAGGCCACTGCATACCTTGGGCCATGTTCATCTTCCAAGTGAGGGACAGTGGCAACACATTTATGGGTACTTAAAGCAGGCGCTGGAAAACGCTTATAGACGCTAAGAAAAAAACTACAGATATTTGATGGAATGTCAATGCTGAAATAATCCATCGCCATCATTCACGATCAATATTGTTTACCCTTGTTAATGCCGTTGCTGTTGCTACGATGATGCAAAAGACGTGGAATGGATAGTGGAATGGTGAATGGATAGCAGTAAGTAGACAAATGGGTATTGGTAAGTGGCCAGTGGTCAAAATTGAAACAGCAGAAATGCGGTCTGAAAATAGGAACAGAAGATACAGAGAACAGGCTTCGGTGAAAGCCGGCATCGGAACTAGGAGCTGTGGTTTCAGGATTTGACTGACCACTTGTACGGACCACAACACTGGGTCCTGAAAGTGCATAAATTTGTGCATAACCCTCATACTCATGCCCACATTTTGTCTGCTAATTGCGTTGTGTTATTGCAACGAGTTATTTGCAGCAATTGAACATTGTTTCCACGGACAGGGCTGTGTGAAATGAGTTGTTCTCAGCCATGAGGGGCAGCAATTTGGTTTGCGCCTTAGTAACCCAATATGACACAAAACGACTTTTTGTATCATGCCATGAGTGTTGTACGGTGCAAAGATGCTTTTGATGTCGGATATGCTTGGTCATCGATACAGGCTTGGCATTGAGTAAAACACCCACTCATGGGTCAGAAGCGGTAAGAATAACGTGTTTGTGGCTATGTAGTTGTACTATAATACGGGATTGGTCACGTTTGAACACGGTTTACATGGCTAATACACATTTTCCAGCAATTCCGCACCATTCAAAGAGACGGACGGAATGCTGGCAAAACCTTGTGCCAGTGTTTCTGCTATCTATTTGCACCTCCCACCCATTCACATTGTGGTTCATAATATTCTAAATCGTGTGTATTACATTTACTGATGTTGTGTTGTTGCTAATCACCAACGAGCAATGATGCAGCGTCAATAATTGTAGCAAGCACAACATAGGGTGCTGTTAATCGCGTTGCAAAAATGGGATATCATCAATCACATCTTTCGATTAGTAGTTGGGAGGGACAAACAGAGTGCTCTGCTTTATGCAGGACGACCATCCCAGCGAGTGGCCTGCTGATGACAACCCCGAGGTCTGTGGGGAGCCCAACCGGAGGGGGAGGACGGATCCTGCTCGTGAGTGATGCCTGGCAAATGTTGCGCAACACCCATCCAAGAAAATGCGTTACGAGCAAGTGCTGTAAGTAAAGCAATCAGCATATCACTGTAAGCAGAGTTAATGCAAATGGACTACGTGCTGTTAGAACAGTTTTAACTGTTACTGTTAAGGTTTTTGATAACTGTTGTTAAGGCTTGCCAACTTGGTCTGAAGCACAGATTGGCTGCCTGGCAACAGAGATCGTGCAGGAGCGGCTCACCAGGAGCGTCCACGAGCTCCTGAAGGGGTGCAAAGTGCCGGCGGCCGCGCCCACGGCCAGGCCTCTGTTCACGACGCAGATGTCCATGCTGTGCGCGGTGGTGTGGGGCCTTAGGCGCCAGCACGCGGACGACAACTGGGGCGAGATATTTGGCGAGTCGTGGGGGGAGGGGTGCGAGGAGGGGCAGGAGCCCGGGGGTCCCAAGAGCAAGGGCACAGACAGGATATTGTGGGCCATGCGCAAGAGGAGGGATGCCATTCGCGCTGCAGAAGGGCAAGGTGGGGCGAAAGAAAGGCGCTTGGGTTTCTTTTGTTATCACTGAATTCTAACAGTGTGACGCCCTTTCAGGAAAAGTGATACTTTTTCACCAACGCGAGCTGGAGTTGAAACACCCTATTATCTGAGTTGGCTCGCTTTGAGCAGCACTGTAAAGTGCCGAGCCCTTGTGCCACGTTTCCCTGAAACAGAAGTTTGCTTCTTTTGTTTTGTTGTCAGGCTCGTGCTCGTGGCATTTTATCTGTATGGAGCCGTTCCAATCAGATGCTGTGGTTGATGATCAATCGAAATAAATCTCGCCGCAGCCATTGTGATGGGGGATGGGACAGATAGGTAACGCTGTTTGGCGGGAAAAGAAACTCTTAAAGGGACATGCTTTGTGACACTGCTGGCTGACCGTGACTATCCTCGCTGGACTCGCTAGCTGATTTTCATTCTCTCAGGATGCTTAACTAACCCATGTGCGAATCGACTTCTCAGTACCGGAGACTAGTTCCGTGGCCAAATGCTCCTTTGATTAATTCAACGAGCAACCTTTACTTAGATGACCGACGGTTATTCGAGTTGTTGATTGCCGAGGCAACTGATGAATTAATCAAATGACTAATTACATGGCGGTTGTTTTGGGTTGCAGAATGGCTGGCGCATCTTCCCCAGGCTTCGGGCGTGCTGCGTGCCTGGCAGCGCCTGCAGATGGCCCTGCTGATCGCTGCCTCCCGTGTGGCAGCCGCGGTCCCATTAATGGAAGCCGATCAGATACGACCTGTGCCCTCGCCACCCCCAAAGGTATGCGCGATAAATAGGCATAATTAGTTAAACTAGCATACAACAAATGCGCCCAACTCAAAACAACATGCTTACTTGAGTAATTAGGGAATTAATTGGAAATTAATTGGCATTCGGAAATGGTACACCTACTCCTTTGCGTGCGTAAAACGCTGGGGTGCTATCTGGGGTTTTAGTGCAGTGGTTCGTAGCTGGTCTTGGGCACGGAATGTACGCAGTTTGTACGGTTGTCGTCCCTAACACATGTACGGTTTACGTGCACCAGTAGTGTATATGAACGCAACATCGGAAAGGAGAACAATCGCAGTTGTTTTACTGTGATTCGAGGTCTCTGTTCTTTGTGTTTCTTCCGTCATGTTGCTGTTGTTGGGGCAACTGTGGCAGGAGCAGTATTGACAGCAGCAGCGTAAGCAACAAATGCCAGTGATAACGGCTGTAGCAGCGGTAACGGCAGCAGCAGCGATAGCAGCAGCAGGTATGTTGTCAAGGCAACAAACTACGGGTAAAGACCACTAACTAATAACAATGAATGGAGTGCAGATGCGCTCGCCACGTGCAGCGCATTGCGGCAGTAATAGTGTCGGTATTGGTACTGGTTCATCAGTACGTAAAAATGTACTAATGGTGTATCTGTCACAGGATGCCGGTCCTGAAGAGGTGCAGAAATGCCTCGAGGATTCTGTGGCGTGGCTGATGGGATGCATCGACCCCATGGCGGCCATGTCGGGGAAGCTGTGCCTTGAGGCCAAGGCCAAGGCCAAGGGGAGATATTTGAAGGTGGGAAGATCAACGACGTGGGATGTGGATTATGCTTGGTGATGTTGTATTATATACTGGAGATTGTCATCAATATCGTTGACAAATACTTAACGAGGCTGACTATTTTGTGGATATTACATGTTCAACACTAAGTGCTGCACTCTCTTTTTCTGGGGACTGGATTCAGCACTGGGGCAATGTGGTGGTTCACCCTTCTGTGCTTCGTTGAATAATAGGAGTGGTGTGTGTAAGCAGATTATAAAATTAGCGCATTTAATGAAGTTTCTGTTAAGCAAAAAGTGGTGAAGCATGAATTCCACTCACAACACACCAATGGACAAAAGTGCTGCTTTAAAACAACGATGTAACAAATTTGCCGCTTGCAAGTTACTGAACTATTTCAGTTTGTGCATTTCTGAAACTAACCGAAGTACTTGCATTGTCAACCCACAACTGGCAAAACTACTTTATCAATTATTAGTTTTTGATTAACAGCACATTTAAGATCAGATTCACTTTCCATTTTCTTTTTGGGTCCATTTGGATTTCTATCTCTGTTTTTGGGCGAGGGTTCTGGCTGATGAATACTACACTCTAGCTCTGGAGCACAGTCATTACTCGTTGGCTCTCACTTCTGCACTCCCCTACCCCCTCGAGGGTCGGGGAGTTGCCCTTGACATTTTCGGTCCCGTGTTTTGCTTTTTTCTTTGGGTGATTTTGCTGCCAGTTTGGGGGACCGTTTGGTGACAGTCGAACAAAAAAACACGGACTGGATTGCATTTTTTTTTCTGGGAACACTGCCCGACATCGCCAGCTTGGTGACAGGGCTTGCTTTGCCATGATTTTGGCAAGTGTAATTGCAACGGATTTAGGAAAAGCACATTTTCCTGTAATGATTTGTTCTGATTCATGAACTGAATGGATCATATGTCTTGGTCTTATGATTTCTCGCTGTGTTTTTTTCTTATGATTTCTCGATGTGCTGTAAAGTACCAAGTATCGAAGCTTCGTACCACTTTTCCCGGAACGTACAGTATGCTAGGTTGATGCATGTTCCAACGCAGCAGGCAATGATTGTGTGTGTTTTCCTTTTCCGTATGGAAATTAGCACTGGCCTGAAAACATGTTGTACAAGGCTTGATATGTGCAGTACTCAGTTGTACCGCTTGCCCCTGAAAGGGCAAAATGTGACATTAATTATTTAAAATCGATTTAAAGAATAATGTATTCTAAATCATTTTCGAGGAAAGCAACAGTTTTCTCTTATTGAAATTCAGATGGTGCCAGAGCTGTACACTAGGGCGGTGCACGAGCGCGCCCTGCAGTCCGCCGTCGACCACTACAACGCCTCCGCCCGCGGACCAGCTTCCGGGCAGCTCCTGGACCAGCTTCGCTCTGAGTGCGCCGAGGAGTGGCGGTCTGGGCGGCAGCGCTGCGAGAGGCACAGCCTGACGGGCCGGCCGTGCGTCCGGGCCCTGAGGCCCATACTGTCGCATGTGCCTGATGGGCACGAGGGGGAGGGGGCCAAACACATATATGAGGTGGGCCTAGTACTTTTTGCCGTACTTTTGTGGCCAGTACTTTCGCATGAAAGCACTATTGCGCTTTGCTGCTGTGTGTATGAGAGGATGAAGGGTTGAGGGCAAGGGATGAGGGTTGTGTTGCTGCGATGTTGTGTCTGTTAGAAGATCTTAATTCAAACATTTGCCATGACAATTCAAATCTATCTTTAGTTCAATGTTCTGGACCCCTAGGGGCATCCTGTCTTGCCCGCACAGCGGCAACTGCCGGTCCCGCAGGTCTATAATTGTTCTGTCACGCAGTTTTCTAATCCAATTCAAGTGTTGACCACAACAACCTAGGCTGGAAGCCCTTGCAGCAACAGCAGTACATGGGAACTCTGCAGAGACAAGCCTCGAACACTTTCTCCCAAAGTTGGGTAAAGAGTCCCATAATTATGACAAGACTCTTGCCGTTAACTCAATGTTCCGGAACCTTCAGGTCAGCCTGTCCTGCCCGCACAGCACCAACTGCGAGTTCCGGCACGCCAGCGCAAGCGGCGCCATCCGCAGGCAGCGCGGCGACCCCTTCACCTTCCTGGACGCCAACGTCACCTTTTACGCGGACTGCGCCTCCGACGAGCTGGCCTCGCAAAGCTCCACACTGACGGCCACGCCACATCACGCCCAGGTGCAGTACGTTGCGCCTGTACTGCGTGCATGACAGTTTTGCGTATGGTGCGCTGCACAGGTGATGTGCGTGGTGTGCATTGTGACGGTGCCCTCCGTACACTGGGAAGAAAAGGGCCAAATGACGCTCGTTCAAACGTGTACAAAGTTTACGGGTTTGAGTTATTTTCGTGTCTTTAGCGTGCAGAACGCTGGCGAAATGTATGCACATGTGTTAGCAAAAAGTGTTATTTGGTCCTTTTTTTCGCTAGTGATATGATAATCTTCTGTGCATTGTTCCGCACTGATCGACTGCGATTTATGTTGTGCATGTACTGCCCACATGATGATGTTCTGTGCAGTGTGCCGCATTGGCAACGTGTGTGCTGTACATTGTGACTGTACTGGTCGCATGACGGTGTTCTGTACAGTGTGCTGCACTGGTGATGTGTGCTGGACATTGTGAATGTACTGCCTGCATGACGATGTTCTGTACAGGGCAGCGCACTGCTTACAAGTGTCGTGTTCATTGTTGCTGTACTGCCCACATGACGATGTTCTGTACAGTGGACCGCACTGGTTATGTGTGTGCTGCACACAGTGACTGTATTGCCTATGTGACGATGCTAGGTACAGAGCGCTGCGCTGGTAAAAAGCTTGCAGGCGGTACAACTGTTGTGTATATCACTTTGGGCGATGGTACCTCCTAAATGCAGCACATTGGTTGCGCAGTGCATTGCATGCACCGGTGCTGTGCAGTGGAAACGTGTACATACAAATACTATCCGTAAGCATAGTGAGAATTAGTAAAATGCGATTAAAACTAATGTAAATCTAATGTAATATACATCTAATATGAAGCACCACACAACTGATATTATTAAAGCACTGTTTTAGAATCAAGCTGCATACAATGTTGATATATTGTTTACCTTATGTACATTTTTGACATATAAACTTGACCTAACATACTAATGTAGAACTAACGGAATATACATCTAAAGTAAAT